ACGTATAGCTTCAGGAGTAGGCTCAGTTTATGTCTCTTGTTCGGGAGTTTATTCTTACCAAACATCGTTTGCTTCCGATTTGAATAGCCGAACATCCGTGGAAGGTATGTGTTCAGCAGTGCTTGTGCCATCAAGTGTCCAATTTGAGTTCCATGTACTCGATGACCAAACTCCGCTCAGTGGGCTTGCGGCGTAAGATGGCCACCGCTACGTGTTCAAATGCCAGCCGACCGCTTCGAACCGCTTTAGGAGTTCAAAGTGTCACTTCGAATTGCTTCAGAGTTCGAAGTGCCGCTTCACAAACAGTTTATTACAGGGGCCATAGTCACAGGGCAGGAAACTGGCAAACAGGCTCCTGCAAAAGCCAGTGGCGAGGTTACTTTCACCACAGGATACTTTTGCAATTCAGAAATTGAATATTCTAAACAGCAGAAAATCTTTCTTTTTGCATACATTTGATATAGGTAGGCACCTGGTCCTGTCTCCATTCACATTGTTTCTTGTATACATTTGCAAAATAAATCAAGCCTATGGCTCTCTCATAATTGGTGTGCATCCATTATATAAGCTCCCACTTCCTCTAACTGTTTTTTTCACAGAGTTCCATTATAATAGATATGACTTGTATAGAAATTGCTTCACCAAAGTAGAGAGTATTATTGCTGCGGAGCTCTATTGCAAACTCAGATACAAAATCAATATGGAGCTCCTAAAAAAGAGGGACATTGGGATAGAAAAGAGAGACAGAAGAATTTGGCCAAAAATAGGGACTACCCCTCTTAAATAGGGACACTTGTGAGGTATGCTTCACCGAGACCACTTTTATGAGATGAAGTGGTCTGGGTCCCTTTAGTGTCCCTTTAAGTCTGACTGGACTACAGAGGATACTGGCAAAGTCTCCTGGTACTTATCTCTGTATTGCCAGTCTATTCAAGCTAAAAAAAAAGAGTAGGCAGGCTCCTACTCAGCCTAATGGGAAAACCAACTCTGCTTAAAACCAACTCTGCAAACCACCAATTAGTGATAATGAATATTCAAGAAGCCATGGAAACTAACAGCCTGTACTTATGTAAAATGGCTTCACGACAATGGTGAGATGGTGCCATGACTCTGTTAATTAAATGAAATAGCATACAAACCCCATGAAGGTTATGTCCCAGCACACAATCTTTCCATAATATAATATGGTATATTCCTTGCATGGAGAAACAACTTTCAATGTATTATATAATATATACATACTATTTATATTTTCAGGGTTATTTACTAAAGTAGGAATTCAAAGCAAATTTCAAATGTAAACCCAGAGTAGACACTCACCACACCGGAAGCATAGTTGACTTCGAGAATTATTCCATTTGGCTAGTGTGACCTTGAATACTTGTTTTCCCAAATATTTCTTTGTTATCGAAATTTAGCAAGCCGAGCTGACTAATTGCCAAAATGCTGCCTTTCCAAATGTTGTTTTTTATTTTCATCAGAAGTGATTTGGCTAAAATAATTATTTCTACTGTGCACTGTTGCTACCATTTTAAAATATTTTTCATTTGTTGAATATAGTTACCCTATAGAATACTGTGTAGCTTATTATTAATATTACACTGTATTAAAGTGCACTCTGTTAATTCTTAGAACATTAACAAAAACATTTTATTCTTTTATTCTGTAGTAAATTGGACAAAACAATGCAGTACTATGTTCATAAGAAAACACTTATATTCTATATGCCATTTTTCTATAATGATCTCTGTTTACTAAGAACTATGCAAGATCAATTCTATAACAAATAATATCAATGCTGTTTAAAACCACCAAACTGCTGGCTAGTTTACTTATATCAGTTTCCGGTAGCCTGGAAATGGAAGTGGATGTGCTTTGATATATCATTTATCTTAATTTCCTTGCCTTAACATATCTGTCACCTTTTTGGTGGAGTGATTTTGAAAATAATTTCCCCTTAAACGCTGCAGTCATAGGCTTTTTAACAGGACATTATGATGACACAAAATGAAGTCAATGGGGGCTGGTTAGGTCAAGGTGAAATGAAGGTACCTTTGTTCAATGCGAAAAATAATTTTCTACTCTCACTCTAGTGCTCATTTTTCATATAATTATTATTTATGAAGGACCTGTAGCAAAATAGTAGCTAGATATTGAAAAGGACAGAATAAATAAATACAAATATAAATAAAAACAGGTTTTTTTGTGTTGGAGGGGTGGGGGGTGGAATAACAGTTTGATAGATGCTTTGGTAAAAAAAAGTTGAGCTATTCCATTCAATTCCATTTTGCACAGAATTGGAAAAATGACATTAGGCATCCTTGAACAAAGTTCTGGGCTGCCTAAGTCACGTGTGTCGGGGGTGCAACTAGAATCCACAAAAGTGCTATTTATTGCTGAAACACTACTTCCTTGGTTCATGACCACTTCACAAAACTAAAGTGGTTATGGACTTTGGAGTAACCCTTTAACCCATTTTAGTAAGGATATCAACTTCCATTGTTTGACATAATACACATCATAAACCCAATTCAATTACCACCCCATGAAACATCTCAAACAATAACAGATCGACCTTGAGGAATTGATAGAAATTTACATTATTCAGCATACATTCAAAATGTACAATAACACTATGTCCCTGAATATCTACTTTAAAATACATTTTCTTTCAACAGCTGTTCAAGTAAAAAGGAAAGCCATATGTGATAGTGCATTTATTAGAGCGCAGAGGTTATTATGATTTACTTAACTCAATTATTTCAAATAATGAATTGTACATTCTCATCTGCCTTGAATATATGATTTAATTTGTCCCCTCCATTATTTTCACTCATCAATGCTTCTACAATTGAGTTACAAATAGTATAAGAGAAAAGAAAATGCCCATCAGGTTAAGCATTATACTAAAACAATATTAGTGTTTTATTTTTGCTGGATCAACAGAAAAAACTGATGTGAAAAAGGCTGAACGTGACGGATGCACGTCTCTTCTCAGCCTATGTAACTATGCATGTAAATATATGCAAAATAATGCAAAGGGGTTTGATCACTAAGAACTTCAGAAAAAGTGACTTTCAAAAGTTGGAAAATAATAATATAAGTAGATCTTTTTTGTCCAGATCTGTTTCTTTTCGTATGTTTTTTGTCTAGTTTAATGAAGAAACTACAATGTTTTCAATCTGAAAATTAATAATCATATACTTTTATTATTATTATTAGTTATTAAAATAAGTTGTATGGTTATATAACGAACAATAGCAAAATACATTTTTAGTAATCCTAGCAGTTTTCTCTGGTACCACATGTCCCCCAGGACCAATTATTACCGTTGGTATTTTCTACTTTTCCCTTGTGTTTTTTACGATCTTTTCATATCACGATACTCCCCTTCTCCAGAGCCCTTTTTACTTTTCACCTTCAATACTTTTATACTACTTTTCATTATCTCATTCCATGTATCTCCTTTTGCGCTTATTGCCTTTTCTCCCTTGCTTATCCTCGATATTATTTTTATTTCAATCATCCTATATTTTTTTTTAGAATCCCTGCCATTTTTCTATCTTTTAAACAATGCAGAGGCAATCTGTAAACCCTCTCCAGGTTTCATTGGGGCAGGGGGACATCTATTACAGCTATCTCTAATATTGTTCCCTTACATTATGCAAGACCTTTAAATCTGGCATGGACAATTTTTTTTGTCATGTTTTTTGGCCTGTTTTTCCTAATTTTATTGAGCTGTGATTCCCTCTTTTCAACCTCACACACATTTATAGGCATTACCCATTTATTAGAATATATCAAGAAATAAACAAGATATATCTTGACATTTTGTCCAACTGAAACACGTTATACACTCAAAGGCAAAATCCATAAGACAGCAAGCAAAGGATCTTCACATTTCACGTAGACAATGCAAAAGGTAGTTGATAGGATAAAATCATATAATCAAGCCTCCATTTTGTGTTAACCCTCCATTTTATGCTCACAGTTTAAAATTGCTTAGAAACATTGACCATGTAAAATAAATATTACTTATATAAAATATGTATAACCTTTAGCCTTAACAGATGTTTCCCTTGTAATATGTAAATACTTAAAATAATAAGGAACTTACAAAACAGCAACCTCCCCTTGACCTTTTCTTGATTTTGCTAAGTTCAAATTTATGCAATGAACTATAAACAGACAATGAGTAATCATTGACAGCTGTCCAAAATAATTGCTGATTCTGTGTAATGTTACATGATAAGATACCTATATAATCTGATGATTTATATTAAAACCAGAGTTGAATCTACTCTCTTACTTGTGTTGTATCTAAGCTGACACTCCGGGCCTCTAGGTATGGTGTGTTTATTGGAAGTGTGGAAGTACGGAAGTTGCCGCCGTAGGATATCCGGGGGGAAAGAAAATAGCCCTAACATGAGCTGCATAGTTTAACTGATTTCTGGCATTTGTTTATTGTATCACTGGAGACTTGCTTCACCAGAAACAATTTCACAATAAATAGAGGAACCAGCCTTCTTTGCCCCCTCCTTCAGGACAAATCTGTGGATTAAATGTGGAAGTCTCAGACTTAGCAATAAATAGAGAGGAAAGAATGGACGTGTGCCTTTTACACAGATTTGAAAAATGGTTTAACCCATTATGATAAGATGGCATTCAGAACTTCTAGGCATTATGACAACTTAACTGCAATTAAGTTGTTATGGTGCCCAGAGTGTTCTTTTATAACGGAAATTGTAGTGCTAAAACTCCTAGATGCTTCAGGTTTTGTCCACTTTTGGGTTAAAATAATAAGTCAGTTTTTCATTTTAGTGATATAGCTTGCCCGTTGTGAAACAATATGACATGTGGACAGATCCTCTGTCCAAATTATTTAAGAAATAGTTGCAAGAAATGACAATTTGACAAAGCTTAATTAAACCATTGATTTATCAACAGAGATGTATTGATCATTAGTGATGTCGCGAACCGTTCGCTGCGAACTCCGGTCAGCTGACACATCCCTGCCAATCTCTGGCAGACCCTCCCTCCCAGACCCTCCTACTTCCTGGACAGCATCCATGTTGAAGGCAGCTTCAACATGGATGCTGTCCAGGAGGTGGGAGGGTCTGGGAGGGAGGGTCTGCCGGAGATTGGCAGGGATGTGTCAGCTGACCGGAGTTCGCAGCGAACGGTTCGTGGCGAACCGTTCGCGGCAAGTTCGCGATCGGTTCACGACATCACTATTGATCATATCAAATATATTTCAGTTTCCATACATCATATTTTTCTGTTTATTTGGTGCAAATAAAATTAACTTAATATATTCATAAGATAACCAATACTTCAAAGTAAATGTGCATGTGTGTTTTTAAGTGGGGTGGAGGACCCAACAAGCATATCTCTGATGGAGCCTAAGGCCAGATATTGCCTTGCCACTTTTATACATGACAGAGTCATGTGTAAGTGCTTTTTAAGTTAAAAAGAAATCCTAGGTGTGCTTTAAAGATGCTATTTTATCTATAAATTGCTCTTGCTAAATGGCTGTGACTTATATTTTTAACACAGAACTAAAAATTTAAATATGCAGATGTTAATGCATTATAAATATTAATAAACTGGAAGCAAGTTTATACAATCTGTATGAATAACTTGTATATCTTATTTTATCATTTTAAAAAAAGAAAAAGAAAGCCTTACTCTTGAATATCTCTTCATAGATATATCAAATCCACGGTTAAAATGCCAGTCAGTAAGAGGCTGAAATATGCTCTTCATAGTTTCATCATTGAAAGCATCTATTGATAATACATTGAAATGTCTCAGAAGACGAGGCGTAATTGCATTCCTTCCTCCAGCAGGTGGAGCCATGGCTAAGACAATAGATGTGTCCTTGATATGTGTCATACTTGTATCTTTCCTGAAAGAATATTTAAAAAAAATGCATGAATAAAAAAACACTTACATTCACACACCCACACTAACTAATGCACATTCTCAGAAACAAACTAACACCCTCATGCACAGCAGCATTCTTGTTCACGTGAGTGCAGTCTTCGTGTGCTATCATTTCAAATTCTGACACTATGTATCACAGCAGCGAATAATGTTAGGAAGATTATGAACTTTTGTTTTACAGAAAACCACGTTTGACTCATTTTAATGTTTTTAGCATGGTTTTGAACCCACCATATGCTTCAGTTGCTGCTGCCAGCTCATGCATTATATTTTCAGATATTCCTTCCCTCATACCATTGTTCTAAAAACTTTTTATTTAAACATTGGTGGCATTCTATCAGACTGAACAAGTTTGCCCATTCTCTTATGACTCATTTCCTTACCAAAACGTGCCATTCACATGATATTTTACATCTTTCATAAAATGATTAAAATTAATTAATTTCTGGGATCTTTGAAACTGGTGTTTAATCAGTCTGTTCGTAGGATCTTGCTTATTAATTGGTCCCAACAACATCCTTATAATTTCGGTCTGGTTAGGTGTGTGCTGAGTGCGGCCTTCTTAGATGCTATGTATATGTATATTAGAGTAGTGTATGGTGTGATTGTTTGGTACTTCCAGACAAAATTTTCCAAATTGTAAATTTTGTTCCAGACATCCAACGCTCAGCAATGTGAGGGCTCTGTTCAGCTGAAATTTGGTCTTAATATCGATTCAACTAAAGCGAACACCCTGACTGCCTATGGGTTAATCATGTGTCAATAAGCCAGCACTTGCTAGTCAGCTGTTACATTAAATAATAAAAATAAATACTTTTTTTTTTTTTCATTTTTAATAGTTGTGTTGATTATTATGTAATTTTTATTTGGCCTTATTTGAGATGAAGAAAAGAAGATTGAAAAAGGAAGACATCTGATGGTAATTTTATATATACTTTTTTCACAGATAAGTTGGCCTGTTATTAAGGTGAGAAAGATAGGCAGATTTTACTTTATTGAGGGGGTAGTAATGTTATAAGGGTGGGCATAATATTTGGGGGGTCAGGGGTCTACCCGACTATTATATTTAAATAATTGAGTGGGGGCTGGGGTAGACATTAGATCCACCTATTAGTCAACATTAGAGCTCAGACGTGTCACCCATGGGTCAGGGCTGGTAGAGACATCAGTTGCCCCCATTATCACTATTAGACCCCCCTGGATTTTCAATTTTAGCTCCCAAATGCTGGCCACAGGTGGGGGCACAGGGGGAACACACACTTTATTATTTAATTAGCGCACCACCATGGGAGCACAGGTGGGAGGACAGTGATCTGCTTACCCTCTACTCTTTAAATAAAATATCCCACTTTGTGTTGTAGTTTACTAACTTTTTAGTACAGCATACACACACTGGTTTGTTTTTTAGGAGACATGCCTGCTTGTGGTATGCTAAATGGGGGGCATGGTGGAGGTATAAAGCCTCCAATGGACTAATGTAAGGATCATTGTGACCCCCATAGACAGTTTTTAATTATTTGATCTTTGGCTGCTAGTTCTGCCAGTGGGCAACTAGTTAACTTGAAAAGCCTAAAAACCCAAAGCAACTGATACGGCCCGTCCATTCGCCATTTTGGTTGGCTTAGAATTAGGGCATGTGGTGGCTCAGAATTAGGTTTTTTGGGCTGTTCAGCCCCAAATCACATTTCTTCTGAACCCAAATCTCCAAGTCTCCAAAAGTAATGTATATTGTCTAAGACTACTGTCCAAGCCTCCAAGTCCAATATATATTGATTGGATGTTGTAATTTTATTATCACATTGTCACAAGTTGAAGTGCATGTACACATGGGTTGCACCCAGGAAAGGTACAATACACAATTCCTTTTACAGAGATGACTATTTTGTTCTGTTTACAGAGGAAAACTGTTGAAAGTATTATGTTAGTTTATGAAAAAGATATAATTGCATACTGCAATACTCTGGTATTTTGGCCATTCTCGACCACTCTGACCCTTTCACTCTCAGGCACATTGTCTGCTCTTAACGCCAGCCCACTCACCTCCCCTACATCTCTAACCACATCTCTTGTTTTAAGAGTTAAAATATATTATATTGATTAGTGTAGCCTCAGAACTGACCCGAGGTAGAGAGAAAAACTCTCAAAACTGTATTTTAAATATGATGTTAGTCCTATAAAAAAAGGTATCATTGCATACTACTCTATATATTTATTTATTTTTCCCACTATATCATACAGCAGATAGACAGAAAGTTAATATTTTATATATATGCACTTCTTCTTCAGAGCATGAACAGGGAATTTTATTTTCCTTGTTGTGAAATAGATATGACGGACTGCCACCAGCTGTGCAGAATAGGTTATATTGTAAATGAAATACAGCTTTCCTTTAAAATGTCCTAGAAAACGTAAAATGCATTTGATGGACATTCCCTGAAAGAGCACACAGAAACAAACAACAAAGTTTACGACAAAACTCTTTCCCAACATAATCTTTCAATGAAACTGGCTTCTAACAATAACAGAAAAGGAAATAAAGAATGCATTTGAATGGCACTAGCATTTTATATACCAAGCAGGCTTTATTTTTTATTTCGATGCAGCATAACAGGGGGTCAACTAAGCCAGCAGTTGACGCAGTTGTCGCAGAAAACATTGAAATATAAAATGTAATTACACCTGGCACATTTGAATCAGACTGTTCTCTTCCAAAATAATATTATGATATCAAATCTGTAAACCATATAAATACATACATACAGTGTCTGTGATAAGTGATAATAGATAATATAATTTCACCTTGTTAAATTGATATTCCTTTAACTCATATGTCTTAAGTATGCAGAAATTAAAGGAACACTCCAAGTTCCTTAACCATTACAGAATTCTGTAGTATTTATGGTGCCAGGAGTGTCCTGCTGCCCTTTATTGTAAGTAGTCATTCCACTTTAGAACGGTTTGACTTATTAGTTGTGGTCAGCCATGTGCCACTCTCTGCCTCCGCTATCCGGGTGACAGTGCAGGACTTAGCTTGTGGCTGAGAGTGATCAGCTGATGACCTCAGCCATTGAGATAGTCGTGCACGTAAGGAAAAGCTAATGCAAGTTCCTAAGCAAGCACTTACGGCTCTCTGTCGCAAGTGGTGGAAGCAGTGAGTGGAGCACTGCAGAACGCAGGTCAGATGTCAAACTGTTATAAAACAATTTGATTACTTACAATGTGGAGCATCTGGGCAATCATGACACCATAACTGCTACAGTGCATAGGTGGCTGTAGTGACATAAACCAAACAAAAACAAATGGAGATAAACAGCGCCAAAATGGTGATCATAAAGTGCTATCAGTGCAAATATACATTATCAACCTAAAAAAAATAAAAATAGAAAAATTGGTACAGTATGTATTATCAATAAATAGATCAAAAATACATAGGAATTACCAACTCACAATTTAAGGAGCTAACATTAAAACTCTGCTGTGATGTGCTTGGATGGTACAATCCACAAAGATGTGTGTAGGTCTGCAAAGATCAATGCTCTCCCAAACAAATGTTGCCAGCACAGCATGTAGATAAAACAGAAAAGACACCAATAGTGTAGTAGGTAAGTAAAATAAGAAACTAAGAGTTATCCTACTTACAGATTCTATAGCAAGGACTTGCACTAGTAATCAGAGGCATTGGTTATTTGATCCCCACCTAGGATGAACAGGATTTAGGAAGCCAGCAGGTACAGGTAAGTAATAATAGTAATTCCAATATAAGGATGTAAGGAATTAACTTTATTTACAGAATTCTGTGGCGGACCTTGTCCTATCCCCATTCGGTTGCCTGTATGTCCCTTAATTTTCCTGAATGACTTGTGTTCCCTGGCTCTATATCTTCCCTCTCCCGAATTAATCCGAAGCGCTCCCTCTTGGACGGCCATTTGTCAACAAGCTGTAACCAAATTAGAGGCACTTAGCCATTATTGCCCTACCCTGATCTCTCCTTTTCTCTTGACTAGTGTCTCTGGTTGCCTCTCTGCCATTTGTAACTGGATGGCTACCCACTTCCTTAAACTTACCTTGTCCAAAACAGAACTTCTGGACTTCTGGTCTTTCCTCCCTCCAGTGTTGCTACTCCCGTTTCTGTCTCCCTCCACATTAATGGTGCTACCATCAGCTCCACCATGCAGGCTCATTGGCTAGGTGATTTATTTGACTCCGACCTCTC